ATCGTCAGGATTCCGGTCCCTGTAGGCTTTTTTGAACCTTCCCACCCCTCCCCCACCCTCACCTCCAACTCCCACCCCCCCCCCCCGTCTCTGCTCTAAGGTGGCCCCTGAGGAGCTCAGCTGCTCTTTTAGGACCCATGGTAGGCCAAAGACTCCAAGAATAAAGAAGGGAAAGAGAAGAGAGAAGAAGGAAGGGGAACAGAAGAAAGAGGGAGACGGGGAAGAATGATAAGAAGGATGTGGTAGAGAAGTTTCCTTTTGCACAAGCATGTGAATGCACGTTGTGTTCCACGGTTCGTACCTTACGTACCTTATGGTCTGTTGAAAATGTTCACAGATTTATGTGGTGCCCACTAGGATGTACTCAGCTGTCACTCCAGTGGCAACCATATGTTTATATCCTTATAGTCATTTAATTCTCTAAACATAGATCTACGTAAAACCTTGACTAACCTACTTTGCAGTTGAGTAAGCTGAGCGAGAGAAACTAAGGATCTTGCTACAAGTAGGTGACTAATCGGTTATAGGGGCCCAGGCTGTCAGGATCCAGAATCTGATCATTTAACCACTATACTACACTACTTCTTGTAGGAAAGAAATACACTGTGCCTTTAGTGATCCTACAGTCCGGGGCAGGAACAGTCATTACATGGAGAGTTGTTTGGTTGTACCACACTGATCTCGGCCATAGGGCCAAAAAACAATAATTGCTTGAGATAAGTAAATATGTGTTTCTTAATGACAATATCAGGATGGTCATCCAGAGGAGGGGATTTCCAGTCCTGAGTTTATGAGTCAGGTAAGGACTTGATCAGCACAGACATGACCCAGTAGAATGGAGAAGGTCCTGGAATGTTTGGTGAGCAGCCAGAGGCCTGTGGTCAATGGCAGCAACAAAGGATGACCCCTGTAGAGCCACAAGAAATGGGGAATGTGAAAAAGGCAGGATCCCCACCAAAAAAAAAAAAGCCACATAGGGAGGCCACAGAGACTTAGTGTACTTGGGGTAACAAGAAGTAGCAAGAAAATCTGAGTGTGGAATAGGATGGGGAAGATAGAACCATGCCTGGATAAGAAAATTTTGTCACTCAAAAGGGCCTGGGGCTCCTAATGGTTCACTCTGTGGCTGCTACACATTATTCTCTCAAGCTGAATCTCAAAGTCTCTGTGATAGCTAGCTCAGGAATTTAGTCCTGGAATAGGTGTCCTAGGATGTGCCCAATTCCCCCCACCCATCCCTCCAGCCCACCAATCCCCAATAAAGAACCTGGCCCTTTTTGCATCACAGAGCTCCCCCACCCCCAACTCTGGGAGAGGTTACTGGACTGCAAGCTTTCTCTCTGTGGCCACAAGGACCCTGTGGCTTCCCTCTTCCGTTTACCCCTTGTGCTCATTTCTGAATTCAAGTGCAGTAAGCCAAGGATGGGTTCTGTTGCTGAGTATGGCTTCAGAGCCTTCTCATCTCTGAAAGGCCTAACCTTTCAAAATGCCAAACACAAAGGCCATCAAAAAAATCATCCCCAAAATGAAGTTTCTCTAAAAATAAAATTTTAGAAACTTTTTTCCTTGAAATGTATTCCAGATTTTAGGACCAGAAAAATCCATACACAGGAAGGGGTCGGTTAATTTGCAATCTTCAACATATGGTTTAATGTTTGTGGGGGGATGTACACATGTAGAAGAGTCCATCTGATTGATCTATTACCCCTAAGTGGGGTCAGGAGACAAAGAGAAGACCTCTTTTGGTCTCAAGAGGGACCTCCAAATGGTTTATGAAATGCTATACCTTAAAGTTCTGTATAGAGTAAAGCTCGTAAGATGTAAGATGTTGTTAATACTGTTGTCATTGGTGTTACTGACAGGCCAAGCAGCCACTTTTAGAAGAAAGCTTTGCCTTTTCCATCTCATTGCAAGGAGTCAGATGCTTCAGAAAATGAAATAGGGGGTGGGGAGAAGACCTCCCAGGATCAGCAGAAGAGAGAAGAGAAGCTCCCCAGTGGATCCTCAGGAACGCAGGAATAACATGACTGGCACTGAGCCAGCTTTGCCTTTCACGGAGGCAAAGCGGTCCCCAGATGAGCAGCCAGTCACTGCTTCAAAGATTCACAGGATCCCCAGGGAGCAGAGTTGGAGGGACCCTTGGGGTCTCTGTGGGTCAGAAATGAAACTAACTACCACAAGTCAAAGTCACGAAGCTGAGTCAGACCGAAAGGGGGAGGAGGTGCTCCAAGGGTCCACACAGGCAGTCCTTGCTATACCACAGTGGGCAGCCAGGCAGAGCAAAGCCTGAGACTGAACACATAAACCGACTTGTGTCCTCTGCCTTCCTACAGCCATCTCCCAGAGCACTCATAGATGGCTAGGAAGCTGGGACCATGGTCAGCTTTAGAGTCCCTCATTCACATTGTCAATGGGGAATTTAAACAGCGCCATAGGAAACCCTGGGACAAAGGTGAGCAGAGATGGAAGCCAGTGGGACCAATTAAGGCAAAACTGGCATTTGGCAAAGCTTATTTCTCTAACTCAATAGGTTCTAATAAGAAAAATGTTCTATAAAAGAAAGTAACAGTGTTACAATGCCACTTCCTCATTATTGAATAAATAATGTGTATTTCTTGCTTCAACATTCTGCCACTTTCTAATGTTATTAAATAAATAGATGTATCACGGGGGAGCCCACTGTGCTCTTGTGGATGCATAAGTCAGCCTTACTTTGTAGTGTGTGCTTCATTTTTGCACCTTACTTGTATACCCTATAGGGCAGAGTACTACATTCATGGAGTCTGGGTATATCTGTGTGGAATTAGTTAGAAGAAACTAATGTCTTAGGCCCTTACATAAGAAAATATATCCAGAGTTCCCATATACATTCCCTAAGCCCTACCTATATGGCTTAGGCTCTAGCATCTATAGGAGATGTGGCCTGAATAGCCACAGATTGGATGCCAAGGGCCATAGTGAAGGAACCCTCTCACATTCAAGTAGAAATTTCACATAAATGGAAGATGAGCTCTCCAGGGCCTGACTCATTCCTTCTCTTACACGTTCTTTTGTTTTGTTCTGTTCTGTTCCATGATTCCTTGGTTGGTTGGTTGGTTGGTTGGTTGGTTGGTTGGTTGGTTGGTTGGCTGGTTGGTTTTTCGAGACGGGGTTTCTCTGTGTAACCTTGGCTGTCCTGGAACTTGCATTATAGACCAGGTGTAGTTCTGTTTTTCACTTCTTCCCTTGTGGTGTCCAGGCACTGCTGTGCACCATGCAAGGAAGGATGGATTGGAGCTGAGTTCCAAGGCCCACATCTTCCCCTGATGTGTCTAGATTCCAATGCACATTGCTTAGGAAAGGAGGAAGCAAAGTCCAGAACAGGTGGGTGAGCAGGATCAAGGTCCAGCAGTGAATGCTAGCAAGGGGAAGGAGACGGTCTCCTCCAGAGATCTCAGTGTTACAGCTCTTTAATGTTACAGCTCTTTCAGACAATGTCCAATGAAGCAGTTCTCTCAAGATAGTAGACAGCTTGTGCGTGTGCACTTTATTCGAGGTGAACAAGGACTATATAAACCTTGGAAAGTGGGAAGGGGTTCTTCTTAGGGTGAAGTTTTATTGGCTGAGGTTTAAGGTTCTGCGGTTACCTCATTTGCATGGAGAGGCATACCCAGAAGTTGAACCTGTAATTTTGCCAAGGATTACATGGCATTCCCCATATAGAGTGTGGGGTTGGGCTCCCCCCACCCAATAAGATAGAGAAGAGGAAACCCTGCTGGTAAGGGAGTCCTAGATTTTGTACTCAGCTCAGGGGAGCTATCTGGACATGGTAGGCTTCAGTCTTAATTACAGTGGTTTCCCAACAACCAGGCTGGCTTGAACTTCAAGATCCACCTACTTTCTGAGTGCTGAGATTAAACCTGTGCACCACCACCAGGGATGCAGGGATGATTCAAAAATCCATTTAAAAAATCACATGATCATCTCATTAGATGCTGAAAAAAAATCTTTCAAAAAAAACCTTCAACAAAATCAAACACCCCTTCAATCAAAACATCCAGGAAATCCAGGACACAGTGAGAAAACCAAACCTAAGGATAATAGGTATAGATGAGAGTGAAGATTCCCAACTTAAAGGGCCACTTAAATATCTTAAATATCTTCAACAAAATTATAGAAGAAAACTTCCTTAACCTAAAGAACGAGAAGCCCATAAACATACAAGAAGCCTACATAACGCCAAATAGACTAGATCAGAAAAGAAATACCTTCTGTCACATAATAATCAAACCACCAAATGCACAAAACACAGAAAGAATATTAAAAGCAGTAAGGGGAAAAGGCCAAGTAACATGTAAAGGCAGACCTATCAGAATTACCCTAGACTTCTCACCAGAGACTATAAAAGCCAGAAGATCCTAGACAGATATCATACAGACCCTAAGAGAACACAAATGCCAGCCCAGGCTACTATACCCAGCAAAACTCTCAATTACCATAGATGGAGAAACCAAGATATTCCATGACAAAACCAAATTTACACAATATCTTTCCACAAACCCGGCACTACAAAGGATATTAGCGGGAAAGCTCCAATACAAGGAGGGAAATTATACCCTAGACAGAACAAGAAAGTAATCCTCTTCCAACAAATCCAAAAAAAGATAGCCACACAAAGATAATTCCACCTCTAATAACAAAAATAACAGGAAGCAACAATCACTGTTCCTTAATATCTCTTAATACCAATGGACTTAATTCCCCAATAAAAAGACATAGGCTAACGGACTGGATACGTAAACAGGACCCAGCATTTTGCTGCATACAGGAAAACCATCTCAGTGACAAAGACAGACACTACCTTAGAGTAAAAGGCTAGAAAACAATTTTTCAAGCAAATGGTCCTAAGAAACAAGCTGGA